TTACATCTAAAAATATTGTGTTTTATTCCCCAAAAAACTGTCCCGCAACGAGGGAAAAATAGGTATCTAAATAGGTATTTAATAATTTAATCATTTTTATTTGTGAAATTATTTTCGTATTCCTATTTTTCAATAATAATAATAATAATAATAATAATAATAATAATAATGTGAATTTCATAGTTTACATATATTATGTTGGACGACGTGGATACTGACTGGCAGTGAGGATGCTGCAGCCGCCTCCGTGACAGTGTGGTCCGTGTATTGAACGCCTGAGTCGGGTATTTCCCTCCGCCTCTGGATCTGGTTACGCAGGTATCGATCGGTTTTTATCGAGACAGATGTGATCCTTCGCGGCCCCACGCTGCCTCCGTGTTGTGGAGGGCCGGCGCATTGGAGGGATTGAATTGCACATGTGAGACCACCCTCGAACAGGGCTCGGCATCCAGATATGTGCAGCCAGAGTATATGTCTTTAATAGTCTTTCTTCTTCTTTTTTTGTTTGTTTGTTTGTTGTTGTTGTTGTTGTTGTTGTTGTTTTTTAAGTCCGTTGTTTCTTTTAAAACGTGCCCACTAAATTAGAAACCATAAATTTGACTGACGATGAATTCACGCACTTTTGGGGTAAATTGTGTCACCGACCGAATCCTCTAATGAATTAAAAAGAAACAACAATTTTTCGCCTACCTGTTGATGGATGAAACACTGGGTACTGTGTCGTTGTCGCAGACCCCCTCCGCCAGGAGTCGGTCTCTGATCTCCCACGCAAACATTGTGGGATTCTGGCGCTTGTACTCCGCGATTTTATCCACCACTTTCGGCGTTGCGACCTTTGGTTTGGACCCCCCGATGACTCCCGGTTTAATACTGCCGGTCTCGTAGTACCTGCATGGGGACAGAGTGAGCCTTCCTGAATGGATCCCCGCCTCCGTTCAACTTCAAATGTTATGCTCAATAAGAAAGGTGGCTTTTTAACATGTTATCAACGCTTATTCCATCGAGTTCTGCAGTTATGCACATTTACTGCAAACAATTACCCACAAATAGGATCTATTAATTGGCCTGGGAGCGTTTTGGGGCTAATTGAGTGTCAGCTGGAAGGCGAGCAAAAAAGGAGTGTAATTAAAAATAAAATATGAGCGGGGTAGACAGAACAGAACAAATGCTTTAAGAGCACACTTTTAAATTTCTAATTTTCACCACTATCAGCAGCATGCACCAAATGCCACCGTGACCTATTGGTAAATGTTGGTGACAAACATTCAGTGTGTGTGGAATGAAATACCTCTGAAATGCCTTCTGATAGCTGAAAAAAATATATGTCAAAAAATTATTGGTGCCCTTAAGAAGAAGCTGATTTAGATGTTTGCAGGCGTTGTTTTCCTGCTAGTATTAACTGTAAAAAAAATGTCTGAATAAAATGTAGGCTATGTGATACGATTTCATTTCTAACACATTCTAATTTTTTTTCGTAATTATTAAAGTTTACTCTTCACTTTTAAGAAAGTCTCCAGCTAATTTTTTTTTTTTTTGACATTATGTTTTTCTCATGCGAGGTGGCAAAATCCGCCAAATATTTGGAGAAAAACAACAAAAAATAAAATAAAAAAAAAGGCAGGAAAGAAAAGATCTGCCTCCGTCAGCGATGGCTGAAGCTGAGACAGGGCGGGAATGTGCATTTAAATACTATAATAAGATGCTGGACACACTCACGCGCGCGCATTCACACACACACACACACACACACACACACACACAGACGCACGCACGCACTCACTCACGTACACACACTCGATGATGGGCCCCCCTCTCTTTTACCTGCCGAGGATTTTGCTGACACAGCCGTGACTGACCCGTAGCTGTCGGGAGATGTCGCAGGGCCGGACGCCCTGGTGGGCCAGCTCCACTATCCGCTGCCGCACCACGTCCGGGAGGGGTCTGCCGTTCACAAACACCCCGCCGAGCTGGTTCACACCGCCGTGCCCTGCGTGGGATACAACAGCAACGCGAGGGGGGACATAACATTACATACCTGCAGACAGGACACACACTGCTGTGAATCCAGGGGCCGTTTCAAAAGTGAAAGGTTTCTATTAATGCTAAAAACTCAAAGAACGCACTTTTTTTTTTGACAATAATTAATCACCAATTTAATACTACTGCTAATACTACTACTACTAATAATAATTATTATAATGAAATTCATGGAACTCTTGCCCTAATAATTGGACATTTCAATGTTTATTATACACATATTAATAAAATAAAAACATATCTTCTTGCAAATTAGGCAATATTTTCCATGAGCTTCTCTCCCTCTGCAGCTTAACACATGTCGCACGTATCACATTTCCAACCTGTTTAATTTTCCTCGCTACAATTATTGTAAATAATTAAAATAAGCTTTGATAACTCATATTACCAACGCGGATTGTGCGAATGAGAACAGATTAATAATTTAGTCCCAGTCCGGGTCTTCTTTTACCCAAATAAAAAAGGGTAAAAAAAAAAAAAAAAAAAAAAAACAAGAAGAAGAAAAGAATGAAAAAAAAAATAATAATATAGGGGACAGCTCAGTTTTACTTTGAGCTCACTGACATTTTAAAATGAGACAAATGGTGAATAATGGGACACGTTTTCGTGCATTTACACACAGCGAGATCTCGTTTGCTCACAATGAGGCTGATATTGCCCCAGGTAATAAAAAAGCTCTGTATTTAAATCGAGGTGTTCATAATTCGTCACTTCACCGAGGAAGCTTTACAATCTAGCTAATTTTAGGATAATAAAAAAAACTCTTGATAAAATAAAATAGAAACAAAACCCCCACATTTCGGCAAATCTCGAAAATTCTGTGGAATTATTACAGTTTTAAGATTACCACCTGATTGATGTATTTCAGTTGTTCAATCTCGGTTTGATGATGCAAAATTAAAAAAAAAAAAATTAAAAAAAAAAATATATATATATGTACCGTTTAAGCCTATATATTTTTTTTTTAAGAGAAAATAAAAACGCAATTTGCAGAATCTATTGTTTTGTTTGTTTGTTTGTTTTGTTTGTGTTTTATTTATTTATTTATTTATTTTACTTGTGCGCTTCTAAACTCTAAAATAAGTTTACTAATATATTTGGAGCCATAATCGGTTTAATATAAATGGGCACCTTTTTTCAATTGATGTAAATCGGCTAAATGCCGCAGATAATCTAATCTGAGTCGGAATGAAAGCCACATCACAGAGATGTTTCGCTCTATAAACTAATTCAGCATACTCACGGTGCATCGCCGAGAAGGGGTCTGCTTTGCAGTGAATATCCATGGGATAGCAAAGGAAAGAAAGGTAATCGACTGAGGTCGCCGTTTCGCCTTTGTGGTGCAGCTTTAAACGAATAAAAAAAGAAATATAAATTTGTTTTGGTGTTAACAGTCCGTGTTGGAAGGAGTCCGCGGGTGCTCTTCAACTTCTTCTTCTTCTTGTTAAGTTCTCCTTTTACAAACAAACAAACAAAAAAAAAAAAAAAAAAAAAAGTATGGAAGAAAGTCTGTCAGGTGCAGCGCATGACCCACGCGTGTGCAGAGCGCGCCGGCTGCAGCAACATTTGGCTTAAAAACTCGTGTCACTCTGCGTGTTTGGAGGACATCGTGAGGAAAAACCAAACAAGCCGGTATATAGCTCTGAGCCTCCACTCAGAAGAAGAAGAAGGAAAGGAGAAAAAAAAAGGAGAAATTCCCCCTCTCTCCTCTGACAGCGTGCTGGACTGGCGGGGCTCTGCGCTTCAGTCAGATAAGGGGCGGAGATGACAACAACAACATGGACATGGCGGAGACAGAGCAGCGCGTCCACCCTCAACCTCCGAAACGGGGCTGTGCCTGAGCGAAGCTTTGGACTGAGAATGAAGCCCCTCTCCTCTTGTGTCTGTTTCTAAAAGCCGCAGTCCCACAGATCGCACCCCACCATCAATCCCCCCCACCGCCCCCACCAACCGCCACCCCCACTCACACCCCCTCCTCTCCTCCTAGCCTACCTCCATCCCGCACATCCCCTTGCATAGAGATGGATGACTTGTCAGACAAAGGCAATAGATTCCAACACTTTGTGATTCGCCCACGTAAAAAACCTGCAGCTCAAATGAGGAGGTCCCTGCATCCGACAGCCCGGAATGGGAGGGAGACGGAATGGGAAATGATGAGACTTTGGGGTGAAGAATCAAGGAAATTAAAGGCACGGGGGTAGAGGAGAGGCAAAGCGCTATCAGGACTTGTTCTATCCGATGTTTACACGGAGGCTCACGAAAAGAAACACTCGGGGATGCCTGGTTGTAAGACTTTTGACATGGGACTTAAAAAAAAACAAACAAAAAAAAAACTACAAAGCTACTTCTCTTTTTTTTTTACATGTATGCATCGTGGATTCATTGCCTAACTTGTTCATCTAAATT